AACATTCCCACCAGCTAAACAAGACCATGTGCCCAAACAAGGACTATTTACACAAGAGTCATCCTAGTCCTTCTCCACTCCTCCCTCTTCCAGGAGTTTGCTCATTTGCTCTGCTGTAGTTAACACTATCTTTTACAATAGGGGTTGTTTTTTTGTAAAACACCCCTGACACAACTGAATGGATCAACACTGCTGTCCATCAGTTTCTCTACTGCTCAGTAGGAACATGACAGAAGCTTTCAGTGGTAGTTTACAGGCAAATAGACTCCATAACTCTGTTTGTCTCTAAGCTTAAAGACACTGATGATCAAAGAGTCAAAACTGTTCACCTATTGTAGCTCTCTTCAACTAAACACGTTATCAGATTTAGGTGAAATATTCTCAACACCTTCATGCCTTTATGGAAAAAAGGGAGCTTCCTGAAACATCTGAGCATTTTTTTAGGGAAATCTTTTCATCCTCTCAGTCACTCAATACTAACAACTATGCCAAGCATCTCTATGATGCTCACTCATGAACAGCAGCTACCCAAGAAAACTCATATTGCCATGTCAAAGATTGCCACATTTTATACAAACCAATTAACAACATGGAAGAGGTTATCGTATTCTGATTTCTAACAGTGTAGTCCAAACCAACTTCCACTAAACAGCTGCAAATTTCAGCATAGGACAACCACAATGCATTTTCTTCCTTAATGCAACTCAGGTTGACTAGGTATTTCACACAGGCACCAAGTAAGCTCTTGGATACCCGGTGCAGTCTGTAAACACACTGCCAAGCCACAGCCTGCAAATGTTTCCAAATACACATCTGGAAAGGCATTAATAAAACCAAAACTTGATTATCTGATAGTTATGACTGCTTTTCAACTCTTTGTTTCCACACTTCTGCCCATCGAACACTGCTCAAAGAACACATGAGAAATTACATTTCAGAATTTACAGAAATTGCTGTTCTCCAAAATTACACTGTTAAAACCTAAGGAGGCAGGGGAAGAGGACACATCTGTGATCCAACAAATGTACCAAAAAGTGGTGCAACTAAGTTCTTTATCTCTCACACATTTACTCAAAAGAACAAGTCTCTGGTTAGTTTAAATTCACAACCGAAAAACAGTGTTGTATGACCTAATCACAAAGTTGTATGGTGAACACCACACACTTACCAAGCTTTCACCCAAATTACATGAGACTGCTTTAACATAACATTATTTGAAAATACATGTCCTAAAAAATAAGCCTACAGTATATGGACTATAGTTCTACAGCCTTCTTTCTAAAGAACATATTTTATCAAAATAAAGATGAATGAGATGAAAGCAGTGAATCTTTCATGTGGAAGTTTTCTCTCTTAGGACCAAAAATAAATGCAGACACTAGGATTTCCTAAGACTAACACAATATATCTAGAACTTCTTCCAAGCTACTCCGAATCATTCTGTGCAAGCATTTTGGTAACTGAATCAAATACGTGACAGCAAACAGTCCAGTGAAGTAAATTAAAAGTGGGTATTTAAACCTAGTGGACCAACTTTCAACATACAGAAGGACTGAAAATTATCCCATTAAATTAGTTAGTAAAATCAAAATCATTAGCACAGGCTAACATACACAAAAAATTATATGAGCTAACCATTAAAAAATTACCATATAAATTAGATACAGGAAAAATAGAAATGGTAAAATGCTATATACTGATATTGCAGAAAAATGGGTTTTTTCCAAGAATAAGCTTTGGGTTCAGTTTTGTTTACACTTTCAGTAAACATATGTATCACACTAATGAAAGTTACTAATTACACTGAACCAAGAAGAACTGCACATAAAAGGGGAACAAATAAAAATAATTTAGTGCCCTCAGAGGTCAGAAGTTCAAAGTAAGACCCAGGATAATCATGAAACAGGATTTAAGCCTCTAGCTGCAAAAGAATCGTAACATACTAAAAGTGAAGAAGAAATTTGAAAAGCAGCAATGCTCAAATGTTATTTAAAGGAGTTGTCATGAAGAAATACGATTTAAGTTTGTCAGACATCAAAAGCTTGGTCTTCCTACACAAAAGCATTGCATTACAGAGGATAAACCCAACCAAATAATACTTAAGATGACCCTCAGACTAAGTCCAACAAATCATGCATGTGGAATGGTGGTATGGACACTGATATTTGAAGAATTGAGCTTAAAGAATGAAAACAAGGAAATGTGCAAAAAAAGCAGACTAAAAAAATAGCTTGAAGAAGGCAGAAAGGAATGAAAATATACAGATGGAACCAGTGTGTACATGCAGGTTCCAAATTACAAAGACTATGAAGAACATGTAAAATGGCACAAAACATGGTTTGGAATACTGGCATGAAGTTACAAAAAAGAGCTACTAAATACCACATAAATCCTCCTGCCAGTGAAATGCATTCCTTAAAATAATCTTTAAAAGGAAGCCTAATTGTTTTAGAACACATAAAATCTCACTGGCCAAGACAATATTAGAACACACAAGTCTACAACCCTGCTTTAGCAAGCAGATGGACTAGATAACCTAAATAATTTTTTCAACCCTATCTCCTATGATGATGTTCAGAAGATCTGACAGGCTCATGCACAATACCCTGCAGTCCTACAAGTATGTGAGCAAGTACAGTAAAAAGACATTGACATCAATTATGAAGACAAGCACAAAAATATATATATTCCACAACCTCTTTGTAAGGCTACATTTGTTTTGTTTTGTTTTTTAAAGGCACCTCATCCTCTAGCTATTGCCAGCTTTTAAAAAAATCACTTTTCGGTTTGAGCAAGAGCTCAGTAGTGAGAAGGAAACATCTTTCAATTCACATTTGAACAGCCACTTCTTACATTCCAATTGTAATCAGAATGACAGTCTTTAAAAACAAGCATGCTGGCCTATTAGTTTTTATGTACAGCAATTTAAACAACTGTGACTACATACTGTATTGTGTAAGCAAAAGCACAACATTCATTTCATACTCACAACCATCATCCTTTGTATACACAAACTCAAAAGAACTCTTAATACTAAAACATTAAAATGCACCCATGGAGTCTTCCCTTACTAGACACATTTAATACATGTTTACAATATATATACACATATAGAATATACATAACTTTTAGAATTTTTCAAATAAATCTTTGTAATTTTCTCTTCAAAAAGAAATAAAATAATGACACTGAAAGAATATGAGTCAAGTACTCAGAACTCTCACAAAGTTGAATGCTCAGTTTTGCAGCCAAGTTTCCTCCTTTTCATCATAACCAAAAAAATTTATAAAAACTAAATAATCTGTATTATTATTATTGTACTCATCTGTTTCATGGTAAACGTTCTAATATTATCTAAGGAAATATATTGCATACCAACTATCATGAAGTGACATGTGAATATTCTGAGCAATAAAAGGTATTCCAGGATATTTTAGCAGTACATGTAATGTGTTGCAGGATCAAACAGCACAGGTCAACCTTTTATTCTAAATAATATACTTAGTTTAAACACTGAGATCAACTTCAGATGTGGTCCCATCCCCAAATGGCACTCTAAAAACAACATAGTCAAACCTTATGTTGATAACTTTCAATGACTCCTGCTTATCAAGTGTCAGTTTAAAGGTAAAGATTTATTTATCAGTTTCCAGTCTTAACCTCAGGCTGGTATATGGAGAGCTGCACTGGGTTCTTTCCTACTCATATCAGCACCAGAAATCAACTCCAGCAGAAATTCTGCTTTCCATTCCCATCAGAGAAAAACACCAACTTCGTGCTTATGAATAGTAATAATTCTGATGACGACACATAACAGAGAAGAATCAACTCGCCTTCCTTTAAGAAGGGATAAAAGGAATAATAGATTGCATTAAAAGTTATTTGTCAAATCAACAGAGAAGCTCTGAATAGATAAACAAAGCACATCTGTTGAGTAATTACGAGAAGCACTCATTCTTCAGGTAACCCAATCAATGGCACATACGCCCGGTGAAATGGACAAGTCCCTCAAACGGTGCAGCTGGGAAATATCTCTAACAGTAGCAGAATCTCTCCAAGTGATGAAGCTTTGTATAGTTCCCACCAATTCCACTAAAAGGACTCATACAAAGCATCAGATTTAATCTTCAAATGAAGTATTTCACTGTTATCCTTAATGCCCAGAACAGATACCCTTTTTAGCAAGAACAGAAAGAGGAGATGAATGTTTGACAGCTAAAATTGTAGGACAGCTTCTTTGGAAAGCTTTGTGATAATTTCTTGTGCCAGATCTCCAGGAATAAACAGCATTAATATCTGAATAAGTTAAATTTGCTACTACAGTATATACAGACTGCATCAGTCTGTTGTTAATTGGGATTTAGACTAAAGGCTCAGTTTCTAGCCACACACTAATACAGTCTAAAATAAAATTACATAAATTTTTTTGCAAACTAAATATTTACCGAGAAACACAGAAGATGTAACAGAAATATTACTGCATTTGAATTTATGTTAGTAATTTGCCTTCCTTTAATTGCATTTATCTTAGGCTAGCAGCCAGGTGGCTGAGATTAACTATCCACTACTGCTCTCTGAACAAGATCTACTTTATTCATACCAAAGGGATGACAAAGTGCCTCTCACATGATACAGTAATGAGCATGTGAACTGACTTTGAATCGCTTTTTCCAGGTGATTTGAGAATGAGAAGCATCCTAGGAAGTTTCCCTCTTTTCCTACTCCCTGATGCAATTAGACCCCTTCTTTCCAGTACTCCATTTTATTAATAGAGAATACGTAGACCTAGTTTCACCCAAGGCCTGCCTGGACGAAAATTCACACCCTCTAAATAAAAGCTTTTTTTTTTTTTTTTTTTTTTTTT